AGCCCAGTAAAATATACATTAAGACCTTTTATCAAAATATTAATAAATGAGCAGGAAATAGAGGCATTAATTGATTCGGGGTCGGAAACATCATTTATAAAACCAGAGACGGCACAAAAACTACAACTAAAAATAAACAAGACGAACGATAACGTACGATTAGCTAACGGAATAACAACAGAAATAACAGGGACAGCAAAAGTAAAAATTAAAATGCAAGATAAAAATATCAACGGAGGGTAAGAGTCTTACCAAATCTCGGGTGCTCAATGATTATTGGGATTTATGGGCCGACTTACAATTAATGCTACCGCCACCGCCACGTACCAAACCGAGAACACAAATAAATACGTGCACAGTAGACAAGGGATTGACGCAACGAACAAAAGAAGAAATACTAAGACAGTTTCTAGAAAAAGAACTACATATATTTAAGCAAGTTCAAGGACCGACAAAATGCATACAGCACCACATAAGACTGACGGATACAAAACCTATAAAACAAAGATACCGACCCCGAAACCCGGCGCTGCAAGCAGTGATAAATAAAGAAGTGGAGGAAATGTTAAGGGAAGGAATAATTGAGCCATCGCGAAGCGCGTGGAGCTCGCCGGTAGTTGTAGTTAAGAAAAAAGACGGAAAACATAGGTTCTGTATAGATTTCCACAAATTAGATGAAGTCACGGAAAAAGATGTATATCCGCTGCCGCACATAACGGCAACGCTTGATAAACTTCACTGAGCTCAATATCTCTCAACGTTAGATTTAAAAAGTGGATATTGGCAAATCCCACTGTCCCCCTCGAGCCGGCCGTTAACCACATTCACCGTACCAGGAAAAGGGTTGTTACAATTCAAAGTGATGCCGTTCGGCTTGCACTCCGCGCCTGCGACGTTCTAGAGATTACTAGACAGAATACTCGGCCCCGAACTAGAGCCAAACGTGCTGGTATATTTGGACGTCATAATTATTATAAGCCGGACATTTGAGGAACATATAAAAGAAGTATTCCGCCGATTACGGGGCGCGAATTTAAAAATAAATGAGGACAAATGCCGGTTTTGCGTCGAGAAACTAAGATATTTAGGACATATTGTCAACAATAAGGGCATTCAAACGGACTCTGAAAAAAATCAACACAATAAGAAATTGGCCAACTCCAAATACCGTTAGAAGGGTGAAGCAGTTTGTAGGGTTAGCTTCTTGGTATTAAAGATTTATATCAAACTTCTCCACACTTGCTGCTCCACTCACTAAGATGCTGCGCAAAAACGCGAAATGGGAGTGGGGAAAAGAGCAAGAAGACGCGTTTAGGGAACTAAAAATGAAATTAACAACAACATCGGTATTAGCATGTCCAGATTTCACTAAAAAATTTGTCGTTCAAACCAATGCCAGTACGGAGGGATTGGGGGCGGTACTCACACAACAATTAGAAGGCGAGAAACGAGTAATTGTATATGGTAGCCGAACGCTCGACAGGGCAGAGCGAAATTATAGCGCGACCGAGTTGGAGTGCCTCGCCGAAGTTTGGGGAATAAGGCGCCTCCGCGACTATCTGGAGGGATACCGATTTACGGTCATTACAGACCACCAATCCCTCCGGTGGTTACAAAAGGTGGAAGCACCAACAGGGAAACTGGCTAAATGGATAATCGAGCTACAATAATAAGATTCCGACATACAATATCGGCGAGGCAGTTTGAACACGGTTGCCGATGCCCTGTCCAGGCAGCCACAGATATGTAACATTACAACAACGTGTCAGTAGTACCAAAAACTAAAATCCCAGGTGGCCGAGGAACCCATCACGCGACCCGACTATAAAATAATAGAAGGGAAATTAATGAGACATGTGCTCTATGATCTCAATTTCAAAGAAACACGAGCAGAGGAGCAATGGAAAGAATGCATACCGAAAGAAAAGAGAATAGATGTCATGAAAAGATATCATGACGAACCCACTGCCGGCCACCTGGAAATAGCAAAGACTATTGCTCGCATAGCCCGGCGGTTTTACTGGCCAGGCATATTCCGCGAAGTCGCGAAATATGTCAGAACTTGTGAAAAATGCCTGGCCCACAAAGCGCAGTAAGTAAAACCAGCCGGGCGGATGCACGTAACCGCGATAAAGGGCCCATGGCAACAGGTCACCATGGATCTCATTGGCTCCTTACCGCGATCAAATAACGGCCACACGTGAAGCCTGACAATGCAGGACCGATTCACGAAGTAGCTGGAAATGCGGCCGATAAGGCGAGAAACGGCAAATATTGTTACATAGATGCTAACCGATTCCATAATATATAGACACGGCTGTCCCCAGACTATCATCTTGGATAACGAGACACAATTAAAATCGCAACGGTTGGTGCAAATTCTGAAAACACATAAAATTAACCACCGCACCACCCCCGTCCACCTCACTGTAACCCAGTAGAAAGGAGTGGCATTCAGTTGGACACAGTACAATTGGACACGTTGCAAATGGACACGGTGCAAATGGACACGGTGCAAATGGACACGGCACTTGACACACGGTTCAATTGGACACGGTGCGTTTGGACACGAAACTTTTGGGCACCGTTGTTTTTGGACACAAAAGAAAATGCACGACGTTCAGTTACACACCGTTCCTTTGGACACCGTTCAGTTGGACACAGTTCAAGTTCCCACTGTTCACTTGGACACAGAAGGATGCTCACTGTTCACTTGGACACCGTTCATTTGGACACCGTTCACTTGGACACCGTTCACTTGGACACCGTTCA